TTACATATTAAAAATATAAGTCCAACTAAAACTTGTAAAATAGATGTTATAAGGCAAACACATTCTCAATGCCAACATGAACACACATAGCCTAACAAGTATAATTTCTATGCTATTAGTCCTATTAATTATGCTTAAAGGCATAAACATTTAGTACAAAGTATAATTTCTATGCTATTAGTCATATTAATTATGCTTAAAGGCATAAACATTTAGTACAACACTTGCAAGCAAACTTGTTAGATTTAAATGACTATGTTAATTTTGACCCACTAAATATAACTACCTATATAAAATAGATGTTAGGTCTATAAATAATCACTCCAAACATCTAATCTACTAAGTGACATTATCACATCACATCCATATTAGTTCATTTTAGCACAAACACATCAAACATAAGAAACATAAAATAGAACCATCATAGCCTAGATCCAAGTTAGCAGCCTAACAAGAAAGTTTAATATGTGTGAGTAATGTTGTGTATCTTTAATAAGCTTTAAGCTTCTAATTTTAGTTTGATTTTTTATCATGACTTGTAGCCAAAATGTGATTTTAAATCATGCGATCGACATTCAAAAAAATTTAAAAGCTTAATCTTGATTTAAAATCCTTAATTGTATTAGAATTAGTGAGGATCACACTCACCACACCTAACACTCTAAACTTAATATGGCTTGCACACCCCACCAAGAATTGAGATAACATTCTAAGGTGTACAAGAAATGGTTTGTTAATTTTCTTGCTGATGTTTAAGATTTCATTTCCTTATTTTGATTTATATAATTATTATATTTTACTTTTATTTTATATTTGGCATTAATTGAGCTCTAATTTCACTTTGGATTCCATCAAACTCAAATTTGCATGAAATAAATCCCAATGATAAAAATAACATTAAAGGTATTACATGCAAGTTTAAAATTAATTTGAACTTAAAATTAATTTCAATTAGTTTTTATATGAAAATTCAAAGTATTATCAAAACATATTTTGTGGTCAATGACGACTGAAGAACACGACTAAAATGTTCTCTCGAGTGTTGCCAATTTAACTTCATATGCTCTAGCTATCAAAGTAGAGTTTAAATGGCTTAGACTAGGATCTAGTAGTGGTTAAGTTATGCATACTCAACTCATGATAATGCCAAGTTCTAACTAGTGTGTTGGGCCATAGCCAAATTGATGTGGTCTCACCATCCTAGATGTATTTGGTACTTAATTAGGTTGTGCTTGTGCAATGTCCAGGTAAGCTACATGCATTTGATACTCGAGTAAATATCGCTATACAAATTTTAGAGGGCAAAAATATTTCGATAATGAAACCGATGTCAATATTTGACAATTCCAATCTACCAAGAAATTTAAATTTAGGAATAGTAGGAGGATAATATAATATGGTGATGATAAGATTGTGAATAATGGTGTTCATATCTTCTTCCACTTTTGGGGTGTCAAATTACTCGGGAGTTGGGTTTAAACATGGTCAGTAGATAACTCAACACTACTATAATAAATTCAAACTCACATCTCAACTTGAATCTAACTTAAGGTCAACCTAACCAGAGATTATCATTATAGTCCAATTTGAAATGACAACTTAATAATGATAATACCAAAAGAATAATATAAT